ATGGTTGAGATAAAGCAGGTTTTGTGTTTATTTTAAGTGGTTGAGATAAAGCAGGTTTTGTGTTTATTTTAAATGGTTGAGTAAAAACAAGTCTTGTGTTTATTTTAAATGGTGGAGATAAAGCAGGGTTTGTGTTTATTTTAAATGGTTGAGATAAAGTAGGTTTTGTGTTTATTTTAAATGGTTGAGATAAAGCAGGTTTTGTGTTTATTTTAAGTGGTTGAGATAAAGCAGGTTTTGGGTTTATTTTAAATGACCAAAACCCTTTCGGTGAACCGTAATTAAACGCTACCAGAAAGCAAACTTTGGGAATTGCTTTCCAGCCTGTTGTTGTTAGTCTCTAAGGACAGTTACCACTAAGCTGCTAGAGAATGATTACTTTATAAAGGAAAATAGAGCCTTAAAAACATTATTCTCACGTCAGCCATTAAGATGGAAGAGAATATTGTGCGTCGTTGAATATAAAAACATTATTCTCACGTTAGACATTAAGATGGAAGAGAATATTGTGCGTCGTTGAATATAAAAACATTATTCTCACGTCAGCCATTAAGATGGAAGAGAATATTGTGCGTCGTTGATTATAAAAACATTATTCTCACGTTAGACATTAAAATGGAAGAGAATATTGTGCGTCGTTGATTATAAGCAGCAAAGATCCGAATTAAAACCCTAAAAATGAAAATTAGATACTGTATTTTTCTTTTAAAAGTGATATATGTCACATATGCTATATTTAACTATTTTTTTATTTATGAGAAAAGACATTGCGCTTAATAAATAAACAAACATTAAGTTACTTAATCCATGCTGTGCTCAGCGCGGCTATCGAACCCCGACTTTTAGCGTTGTAAGCACTCAGGCTTTTCTAATATATATAATTTGAACCAGTTAGAAGCCATGGAATTACATATAAATATATAACGTTTGTGACATTGTAAGACTAGAGAGAAGGCAGCTAGTCATCACCACCCATCGCCAACTCTTGGGCTACTCTTTTACCAACAAATAGTGGGATTGACCGTCCCATTATAATGCCCACACGGCTGAACAGGGCGAGCATGTTTGGTGTGACGGGGATTCGAACCCACGAGCCGAGCGATGGCCATGTAACGTTTGTGTTCTAACATTAACAAATTCGATTCTAAAAAAGTATGGCCAACTTCGGACGGTAAATGAAGTTTAAAATAAAAGAAATGACAATTTATCAACTAAATAGCTTTAATACATTGTTTGAGAATAAATATTTCAACTATTACAGAAAAGAATACGATCAGAACGTGAAAATAACAACTTTAGATTTGTAAGTGTTTTATGACGGATGTAATATTAAAGTTAGTCATGAAATCATTATGAATAACGCCATTATGTCTAACGTATTTCTCGATAATTCATATATATTTTCACAAATACGATATTTCACCCAAACAATCTAGATAACTAGGATAAATGATGATAAAGAATAAACTAACACGTCTAAATAAAAAACTTTTTCTGGTTTATCATGTATCCAAATTTTGCGGAAGAACACACATTTAAGAACCTGGGTAGCTTAATGAGAGTGAAAAGTATGCGGAAGAACACACGTTCAAGAACCTGGGTAGCTTAATGAGAATGAAAAGTATGCGGAAGAACACATTTAAGAACCTGGGTAGCTTAATGAGAGTGAAAAGTATGCAGAAGAACAACATTCAAGAACCTGGGTAGCTTAATGAGAGTGAAAAGTATGCGGAAGAACACACATTCAAGAACCTGGGTAGCTTAATGAGAGTGAAAAGTATGCGGAAGAACACACATTCAAGAACCTGGGTAGCTTAATGAGAGTGAAAAGTATTGCATGGAAAATAGGATGTGAATCTGTATTTTTAAACATAGATAAAAAACAAACCGTGACGATATACTGAAAAATACATTACATTTACCATTGTGTTCTGTAAACTGCAGAACCCTGTAAGTCTGGGAACATTAACGCCTGCTGAATAGATTTAAGAAACACATGAAATAATCATTGGAGCTTCGTTCAAACTTTCATAAAAGGTTCCTTTTGTTGAAGGCCCTTTGTCAACAGATCAATGATAGGTATCGTAATGGAAAAATGCTCTGGTTTCATTTCTTAACAGCACCAACAAATTGATTACCAAATTTTTTACACACATTCACAGTTACGTCTAAATGTATTCAAAAAGAACAACAAAATGATTACTGAACTCCTCACACACTTCTATTATTGGATACATTTAGAGGTAACTGGGGTAACTACTGCTAGAAGTGTGTGAGGAGTTCAGTAATGTTATGTTGATGTTATTGGATACATTTAGAGGTAACTGGGGTAACTACTCGCATCAACATAACATTACTGAACTCCTCACACACTTCTAGCAGTAGTTACCCCAGTTACCTCTAAATGTATCCAATAACATCAACATAACATTACTGAACTCCTCACACACTTCGACCAATACTTACCCCAGTTACCTTTAAGTGTATTCAATAACAACAACATAATATTACTGAACTCCTCACATACTTCTAGCAGTAGTTACCCCAGTTACCTCTAAATGTATCCAATAACAACAACATAATATTACTGAACTCCTCACACACTTCTACGAGTAGTTACCCCAGTTACCTCTAAATGTATCCAATAACATCAACATAACATTACTGAACTCCTCACACACTTCTAGCAGTAGTTACCCCAGTTACGTCTAAATGTATTCAATAACAACAACATAACATTACTGAACTCCTCACATACTTCTAGCAGTAGTTACCCCAGTTACCTCTAAATGTATCCAATAACAACAACAGAATGTTACTGAACTCCTCACACACTTCGACCAGTAGTTACCCCAGTTACCTTTAAATATATTCAATAACAACAACATAATATTACTGAACTCCTCACATACTTCTAGCAGTAGTTACCCCAGTTACCTCTAAATGTATCCAATAACATCAACATAACATTACTGAACTCCTCACACACTTCTAGCAGTAGTTACCCCAGTTACGTCTAAATGTATTCAATAACAACAACATAATATTACTGAACTCCTCACATATTTCTAGCAGTAGTTACCCCAGTTACCTCTAAATGTATCCGATAACAACAACATAATATTACTGAACTCCTCACACACTTCGACCAGTAGTTACCCCAGTTACCTCTACATGTATCCAATAACAACAACATCATATTACTGAACTCCTCACACACTTCGACCAGTAGTTACCCCAGTTACCTCTAAATGTATCCAATAACAACAACATAATATTACTGAACTCCTCACATACTTCTACGAGTAGTTAACCCAGTTACGTCTAAATGTATTCAATAACAACAACATAATATTACTGAACTCCTCACATACTTCTAGCAGTAGTTACCCCAGTTACGTCTAAATGTATCCAATAACAACAACATAATATTACTGAACTCCTCACACACTTCGACCAGTAGTTACCCCTGTTACCTCTAAATGTATCCGATAACAACAACATAATATCACTGAACTCCTCACATACTTCTAGCAGTAGTTACGTCTAAATGTATCCGATAACAACAACATAATATTACTGAACTCACAACACAATTTTATCGGTAGTTAACCCTCCAAGTTTATTATATACAGTATGGTATTTAGTGTTAACTCCCAATAAGAGGAAAGTGCCTACTTTGATCAAAAGTAAAAAATCAACCTGGTAATTAATATATATAATTAAATAGTTTTCTTAAATTCTTACTTATAAATATTAGAATGCATTATTTCATCACTTGTGTATAATCGCAGTAAACGATATTTTTACCCGTAACGACAATAATGTCTCACGAGATGTATTTTAGTCTTACCGTCAGAATTCGCTCAATTAACTTAGTATAGTCATATGAATAACCAAAATATAGCGAATTAATTTACCTTTAATCTCTTTACTTAATCTGCTTATATTTAGCCTGTAATCAGTGGTTAATAATAAGATGTATTGTGAACTACAATGTCGTGTCTGTAATAGCTAGAGAATATTTCAAAAGATTGAAGTATTGTTGTTATTACGACTGATTTTGATTGGTGATGAATAATTTTCCTATCGATATTGAATTTTCTGCGTGTTCATAAGGCATAGCTTACAATAGAGATTACACCAAAATAATGACGTCAGGCGTGAGAGAAGGATGGTGAATTAAAACACAGCTGGGAAGTAAAATCAAATATTTCAAAGTATGATTACTTGTTTATCAAATGCAATAGAGAGACTTGGAGGGATGTCTAAACGAATTATATGCGTTTCATTCACGATTATAGATAGTAAACAGTATCGAAGTAATTATTCATTCAAATAATCTAGAATTGTTTAACCGAAATACATAATCAATAAATCTAACAATAAACATATCTAATCGTGAAGACCAGTAATATTAGTTCAACCCTCGCAATTTCACTTTTAAATTAATAAGACTGAAGGAGTAGTTTCTATGTGCGTAAAATAAGTGTCAATAACTTACTTGAAAGATGGTCCAAAAACTAGTGGCCACTACTGTATGGTTCACAAAATTGAGATTAATATAATATTCACTGAAAACCCAGACGACCTTGAGTCACAATTTTAGTGTTTTAAGAAAAAAATTGTTTTTAAAACACTGGTTTGGTGACCTGTGTTCTTGAGTCTCCGTTGTGTTAGACAGAATGGTGCGGTGTATCGACTGTTGAAAGTGGAGATGGAGCCTGTTTCTTTACAGGCCTGTCACTTCTCAAAGTGAACAGAAGGTGGCGCAGCGTACTTAGTCATTAGTCTAGGGGAATAACGTGAAAGACCTGCTGAAACAAGAAAATTGAGATTTCTTCAGGTGATAATATATTTCATTATATTGAGTATTCACGTGTTTTAGTTGTGAAGTAAGGAGGCTTTTTAGAAGCTACATATCAAAACAATTACGTGCATGTTTATAATGTGATGTTATCGTTTAATAAAAAATGCTGGCAATATATATATATATATATGTCGTTTAGACATGTTTGAAAGACTCTGACTAAGTAAAGGTGGCTTGTTTGAATAATAATTAAAATACGTAAATATGCGTGTGTTGTGGCTACAAGCACAAAATCGTGAATGTTATTCAGCTTGTTTTGCTAGCAAAACGACACGACGAAATCATCACAACTATCAAAAATGTTATGATCACGTGGAAACTGTTGTTTCTTTTTAAGCACAGAGATACGCAGTGAATCATCTGTGATGTGGATATCGAAATCAATTTTTTAGCGTTACAAGCCATAGGCTGATTGCTGAGCCATAGGAGGACCAGTTGAGGACAAAGTGAAATGTACAGTCATAAGGTATTGTGAATAAGTTTGATATCAGTATTACCCGCCAATAAAGAAGACTGTCTTGTTTGATATCAGTATTACCCGCCAATAAAGAAGACTGTCTTGTTTGATAAACAAGACAGTCTTCTTTATTGGCGGGTAATACTGATATCAAACAAGACAGTCTTCTTTATTGGCGGGTAATGCTGACATTAAACAAGACAGTCTTCTTTATTGGCGGGTAATACTGATGATATCAGTCATTTACCTGCCAATAAAGAAGACTGTCTTGTTTGATATCAGCATTTACCTGCCAATAAAGAAGACTGTCTTGTTTAATGTCAGAATTAACCACCAATAAAGAAAACTGTCTTGTTTAATATCAGTATTACCTGCCAATAAAGAAGACTGCCTTATTTAATGTCAGCATTAACCGCCAATAAAGAAGACTGTCTTGTTTAATGTCAGCATTAACCGCCAATAAAGAAGACTGTCTTGTTTAATGTCAGCATTACCTGCCAATAAAGAAGACTGTCTTGTTTGATATCAGCATTTACCTGCCAATAAAGAAGACTGTCTTGTTTAATGTCAGAATTAACCACCAATAAAGAAAACTGTCTTGTTTAATATCAGTATTACCTGCCAATAAAGAAGACTGTCTTGTTTAATGTCAGCGTTACCCGCCAATAAAGAAGACTGTCTTGTTTAATGTCAGCATTAACCGCCAATAAAGAAGACTGTCTTGTTTAATGTCAGCATTACCCGCCAATAAATAAGACTGTCTTGTTTAATGTCAGCGTTACCCGCCAATAAAGAAGACTGTCTTGTTTAATGTCAGCGTTACCCGCCAATAAAGAAGACTGTCTTGTCAATGTTAAATCATCTAGTGTGCCACTGCTATTTATATTTACAAATTATACGCACTTTTTTCACGAACAGCTAGTTACAAAATAAAAAAGGTACCAAAACGTCTTCAAAATTACACTGTTTCGTTTATTTAGTTTTTATTTTTAAATTGTCATTGTTTTGTTTTGTCATAGTTTAAAAGTAGATGAACATAAAGATTCGGATAAGTGCTTAAGTGTAAATTAATAATGATTCAAAATAATTTAATGTAATAAATTTCCGATTTTATTTATCCTATAATTTGCATTCTGCTATAAGTGTCAAATTCATTATAAAGTCATTATTTGTTTTGACGTTAGAGTAACCAATGACTAATTATACATGTAAAGTATAAACAAATTGTCATCTGGTGGAAGAGGTCTTAGAAATACATTTGACAGTTCTTCCAATGTTTGAAACGTATGATACTTCAAGATATGCGTTTATCCTTTCCGAACAATGCTCAATTATGATGTCCAATTGTAGTATTACCTTCTATATATATCACAGTTGCAGGAAAGTGGAGAACACGTATTCATTTGATTTCAAAACTATCCCTGTAGCAGAAGGGCCACTTTCCTGTATAAGCAGGAGTTTATCATTCACTGTTAATTATACGAGTAATTTCGCTATATTTTCAACATAGCTTTCCGAAGAGAAATCCGGAGAAACGTTTAACGCATTAGCAGAAAATATACACAAGAAACGATGGAGAATATAAAACTAATCGGGAATTGAAGGGGTGAATGTCATAAGACATGATGTTAAATCACAGAGATTAACCCTATGAACATTATTAAATTGCTTCTTAATGAAAATCCAATTTAAGGTACGTTTCTGCTTGCGTGGGTGTTATATTATCTAATAATAACGTTTCGTTTGATATAGTTTTTCAAAGACACTAAGCGTCATATGTCCAATCCCATCTAAAAAAAAAATAAACTCTATTTTTTTCTTCTAATAAACAACGATAGATGGGGTTTTAAAGTTTAAGACATTGCTGTGTATTTTAGTTGATTTTGTTTTTACAAAATTAAGTAATTTTTTCTTAATTCTATTTATTTAACTTTACCATTGAAAGTAACTATAAAGCATGGGACTTAAGGTAAACAACGCATTATGAAAATTTATTAGCCCTAACATCTAGGACATGTCGATCCTCTCTCTTCCAGAAACATCTGGTACCGCAACAAAAATAGCCTCAAGAGAAAAAAACAACATTGAAGTTGCCAGAGAAACAATTTAAGAGAAATGGGTAATAAACTTGGACAAACTTTATCCACCATCAAATGAATAACTGAAAAATAAGCTTATCATTTTTGTTGTTAGTACTGTTAAGAAAAAATGATAATTGTTTCGCTTTGTATCCAGGAGTTAAAATGTGGTATTCAAAGTGAAGTCGAACAACTGAACATGAACCTTTATGGTTACACTGCGATTTGTAATACGATATTAACGAAAATTATCATAATAGTAATTTTAATTCATATAAGAATACTGGTCAAACAAAAGCTGAACGAGCGCTATGCGGATCTAATTTGGTCTTGAGGAATTGGTAAAATGAAACGTAAGGCAACACATATTTATGAAAGTTAACCATCATATATATGTATGTAATCTCTTGAATGGTTTCATTTTATGGTAAAAATAAAGTCCATGCGTTGTTTTGTTTTTACTGATGTTTCGCGCCAACACATAATATTTGGGTAATGTTTATTTCAATAAAGTATTGTGTTGAATAATGCATTTTTACGTTTCCTGCTCAACTCTGTGCTACTTTTAATGGTTGGAGACGGCTTGAATGGGTAATGAAGAAAAACTTTAATATAACAGCAAATGTACAACGTTTCGACAAGGTTTTGTCATAATCAGGTGTACGTTGTACATTTGCTGTTATGTTAAACTTATATTAAAGTTTTTCTTCATTATCCATTCAAGCCGTCTCCAACTATTATTAGTCTCAAAGTGGGTTCTTCGTCATCGAATCTGTGCTTCTTTGTCTGCTGTTGTGTGAAGAAAATGTTTAAGTCCAATATTTTTCATACCCTTTAGAAAATACAAGTAGTATTTTCGTGTATTGTAAAACATAAAAAGTAATATTTGTAATTTTTAACGAAACAGCACTGTATGTGCACGAGAGGCGAGCTGGGCAGGCAGTCACTACTAATTTAATACTGCTCATCAACGGGAAGTAAGCAAGTCCCGCCATCACGAGGGTTTGGTTTAATTTACTGCTGTTGTTATTATGATACTTAGAATTGCACCTAAGTCTGCTGAATATGTTCACTTTAACAATTAATAATTGGATTTTTTCATATATTATTTGTTCAGATTCGCCCGTTTTTCAATAATTGTTAGCATTTATCAGTATTCTAAGTTTGTTAAAAAAGACCATTTATGAAAATAAACAGTGATAAATAACACAATATAGTGAAAAAGCCGTGATAAAATCTTATTTGTTATTGAGTTGTCTTTTGTTTTTAAGCACAAAAGCTATACAACAGGATATTTGTGTTGTGGCTATCGCCGGGATCGAAACTTGAATTGTAGCATGGTCTTTGAGCTTACAGATAAGCCATCTGGGACCAGAGCATATTTATTTAAATTAAATAATTCAATAAAATGAAGACATTATGAATGTCGTTGTTTGTGAATTATCATGAATGTACTGGTGTTTCCATACCTAGAATAATATTTGAAGGATTCAAGTTTTTTCAAAGTTTTTATATTTTGTGGCAGCAATGGCATTATGAATTTCGTTGTTTGTGAATTATCATGAATGTACTGGTGTTTCCATACCTAGAATAATATTTGAAGGATTCAAGTGTTTTCAAAGTTTTTATATTTTGTGGCAGCAATGCATTATGAATGTCGTTGTTTGTAAATTATCATGAATGTACTGGTGTTTCCATACCTAGAATAATATTTGAAGGATATTTTTATATTTTGTGGCAGCAATGCATTATTTCCACTTTATTGTATTAGTCATAAAGTTTCAGGGTAAGACTTTTTCCTATTTGAATATTAACAAAAAATCTACTTCGTGGAAGAATAACTATCATTCTGTATACCCTGAAACGTTCACATAGTTTGTGCAAATACAAATTTGTGTTCGAAATGCCTGGATTTAAATATGGACAGAGAATGTGCTCAATCATGTAATTGTAAGCTTAAAATTCTTAAAACGGTGGAGAATATTCAAATCTACTTTATCATTATTATTTAGATTTAAATAAACATGTAACTGATATTTTAACACATTCGAGTAAAGCTACATTACATAATAAATCGGGACTTGTTAGAATATGAAAATGCGACTAAGTGGAGCTGATGTTTTCAGATGAACGACAAAATGGAATGTTGTAATATTATTTTTCTGTGTTATACTATACTGTACACAAAATGTTTATACATTTCTAAGATTGTTTGTTTCTTGTTAAGCGCAAAGCTGCACAATAGGTTATCTGTGCTGAGTAT